GATTTATTTAATAATGAAGTATATTAAAGATTTAAAATAGATTTCCGCAAGCGTGTACCGAGTAATTTCTAGTCGGGCAGTATCAGCTTTACCAGCCTTTTATTGCTTACAATTTTATTCAGCTAAACTTTCTGAAATTTGTTTAGTCATAATCATATATGATATATGCTGTGCAGGCGGGTTACCTAGGTTAGTTCCAGCGAGTAGCCTAACTCGCATATCCAGCATAAATCACAAGTTATTACTGCTCAAGCCTGAATCGAGACTTCACTTTCCTTTCGATTCGACTTCAGTTGCGTAACATGTTTCTGACGCCTTTCACACAGCGAAGCAGTGCGGTTGATGAAAGGCTCAGCATTGGCCAATTGCTATGCAAAACATGGCCAAAACATGCAAATAGCCCAGCTGCAACAGTCAACAACGCCCAACAGCTAACAACAAACAATATTGATAAAGCAATTAAAAATATATCTAAATATTTCCATGTGACAGCGCAGATTATGCGCTGGAATGTTGTGTGCGGAAAGGCCGACAAGTTTCAACTTGAGCGTCGTCGGATTAGGCCTAAAAGCCACGCCATCTTAGCCATTTAGCGTGTTGTATCTATTTTTGATTTGCGCCACGATCCGATTGAGCGATAGACAAACCGTCGACAGTTCGGCTAGCCACCCCCCTCTCCGCCGGCCCACAAACATCGGCAACGGCTTCGGCATCGTTTGTCAACTGCCGACATCCAAATCATCGATAATATATACATAGAAATATATATATATATAGTTCTGGAGAATGTTAGTTGTGTCTGCGACTGCTACTGCAACTGCGACTGCGGCGTGTCAATCATTTCAATTAACGTGCGATCGAATCAATCGTCGTGTCAATCATCATCATCAGTGACAATGGCTGAGGCATTGGTGCCGCAATCGCAATCGCAATTGCAATCGCAACCGCAGCGTTAATTTGCCTGTCATGCGATCGCTAGAGCATCGGAGAGAGATAGAAGGGGGGTGGACTGCGGGCGTAACAGATAGCAACAGCAAATTGACGCAGTGATTTTTGTGTAGGTGCTAACAGGTAGAAGACAATAGGCCGATGCCGTGGAACGTGCAATAAGAGAGAAGGTTAAGATGAAAGCTGAATCAATTTCATATAAAATGCTTAGGTTGTTGCACGAAACGTCTCGGGATAATATTAGTCTAAGTGATTACATATATTAGTCTTAGAATTGAACAATAAATGCTTAGTTTAATGGGAACAGATATGAGCGGTGACAGAGTATAAAATAAATAGCTATTTTGCTTTTAAGTAATACAATATACAATTTACATGAATGCGATTCTTCCGTAGGTAAATAGGTTTAAAAGTTGTTTTTATAATATATATTAAAACAATTGCTTAAAAACTTTATGAATACTGAATACTGGGTATAAGCGGATCAGACATATTATCTATTTATATATATTTATTTGAAGAACGTAGTAGAAAAGTAGTTGAGAACAATAAGAATAGCTCTTGAAGTTACCGTCTCCACTTTATGGAGCATTTAACTTCTGCAACCAAGGTATTTGGGCTTCAGATTTAATAAACCTTTGAAAAGTTTAAACCCAATTCCCTGTTAACTGAGTAATTTATAGTTGATAAATAGAAACTTCCTTGGTATATGTATATAATTAGATAGCTCACAACAATTTTATGATATTATTATCTTGAGAGAAGGCGATTCAAAAAGTTGTGGGAGTCAAGATAACTTGATATATTATTATTATATATTCATATTTAATCTGATGCCTGAGAGGGCGAGCTTATTCTGCTATGGCTTATTTATTAAATGCGCGCAAAGATCACGCACTATGGAGATATGAAGTATACCTTTCACTGTTCCCCCGTGGGAGTGTTAATCATTTTACGGGGCTCCATATGAAGAAAAGTGCATTTAATCATTCAATACGTTCGTCACATATTTATGGACTGTCATAATGAATCGACTTTCACTTGCGACGCGTAAATTTCCATGGCAACGTGTTGTTTTTATGGCTTATTAATGAGCTGGCCGATCATTAGATTGGGCAACAAGATCCGATATCAGTCGATAGGCCTCCAACGAGAACAAGAAAATTGAGGCAGAGCCTCGCACCGTCCCGCGTCCCTGCGACACTGTCAAACATATCGCTTACATGGCTCAGTCGCCGCCTGGGCCCAAGTTAACCAGCTGCCTCTGGCCGGTTTCTCGCTCACTCTCCCCCTCTCCCTCTCTCCATCTCTCTCTCTCGTTCTGTTGCGGCTGCACTGTGACGGCTGAAGCTGTGTGTGGCCCGTTAGTTTGAGATCTTTATAAGTCAATTTCAGTCAGTTTTGTGTGTGCCAGATGATCTGGCCACATAGTCCTCCAAGCTGACCCATTTAAGACATTCAAATCGGAGTTTGGATATTATGTATTGTATGCTAACTCCCTTGGCATTTAATTGTGCGCTCATTCACGTTGCATCATTGTCGGCTGCCAAGATGGTAACTCATCTGCTTCCAGTCGAGTTCCTTGGCTCGTTTTGGCATTTGCAACTCATGTTAAGCATAAATAAAACAAATGCGCTTATTTTAAACATATGCCCAAATGGACAACGACTCCACTCCACTTCACTCCACTCCACTCCAGTCGAGTTGGACTCGACTTGACTTGGACTCTGAATCGGTTGACTTTTTGTTGTTGTTATTGTTGTTGTTGTTAGCCAGTTGGCAGCTGGCAGCGGCTTTTACCAAGTTGGGTCATTGCGTTTAACAACCGAAGATGAAGACATCTTCCCGTTTTTGCCGCATTTTCTTTTGCTGCCTCTCAGTTGCTGTATCTCTGTCCTCTTTTTGCCCGCTCCCAAATGAACGCAATTTATGTGAATGCATTTGCGCGTTTTTAGCTTTGTGCATGTTAAGTCGATCAGTTATTTTGGTAGTCGTCGTTTTGACAGACTCTTGCATAGATTTTATTGCTCAGCTGTTGACCAGAGTCAAATGAGTTAAGTTGGAAAAGTGAACAGGTATTGAAACATATACTGATGGGCAGCTGAGAAGCGCAGAGAAAGGCTGAAGTTTTGTATTACATTGTCTATCATTCTTTTATATAAATTATTTCAGAAATTTAAAATCTAGAAAAGTACCGAGCTGTAGTCTAATGGAATATATTTAGTTTCTACTATGAATACTAAACTCTTCTTAATTTTGAGTTGGGAAGAATGTCTGTAGACCAATTTTGTTGACTTTAAATTTGAAAACTTCTAAGGTACGCTTAATTATGTGAAGGTGTATATGTATTTGTCTTTATGCTGTTTCACTGAAAGTGATCAATTTTTCTTGACCTGAAAAACACTTAATAATCGCTTGATATAACCAGGCCTCCATGTTTGCCTACTCGAATGGACGCAGGAATAAATGGTTTGGATTGAAATGACTTGAATATTGATTCTGAGCCAGTTAAGAGTTTTGTATTAAAGTTATTTCCGTTTGAATGGGTGTATGAATAAGCAAAGTGTTTCTAGATGGAGTAAAAATAACCCACAAGCTCTATGCCGAAACACTATATATTATATTACTATATTATCCAAGGCATTGATTCATTTTAAGCTGGCCCCCGCCTTGTTCTGTCAAATTATTTTCCAAATACCTATTTTTGCTGCATTATATTACAAAATATAGTTTTAATTTAACATTAATTCTAATCTCTGGTAAATATGTAAATATTATGAAAATTAATTTTTCATAAAGAAGTAACATTAAACAATCCCTAAACGGAACAGCCTTCGCTATGAGCTCTTTAATGCCTTATGGTTTCATTCCTTCCCTTATTCAGCATTTTATTTAAATTTTCTAAAATATCCAACAGATTGATATACGCTCGCAAGCAATTAATATAACCTCTTAGCATTACCGTTGCCTAGAATTACACTCCGCTCCCTGCTAAGGCCTCTCTTCTACGCGAACTGGTGGCAGTCGTTGATTGAGTTCATATAATTTCTATTAAAGCCAATTTGGCAAAACCTCCCGGCGGACGCCTTTCAGCGCTCATCCTTCGGCCTGGAACAACATTGCAAGTTTTTATTGTGTCAAATTTGAACAGCAAGCAATGAAAAATTTAACACGCTATAAATCACAATTTTCACAAAAAGGGAAATGCCCAGCCAAGCAACAGCAACAGCAACAGCAACAAAACAGATTTTCCGCCAGCAATTGTTGCAGCACACAAGTGAATGGCAGGAGCAGGAGGCGAAGGGGGGGGCGGATGAGGGCCATTGGCAACCTGCCAACCCCTTGGCAATGTCCTTGCGACGCCTTGGTATGCAACTTGTGCCGGCTTATCTGCCCAGCAACATGCGTTCCTGGACTGGGTGGTTGTTCCCCTCTCCCTCTGCCCCCCCGCGCCTTGTCACTGTCGATGACGAGGCAGAAGTCCTGGCGTCGTCTCCTGGCTGTCTGACAGGTTCAAGGTCTGTTGTTTGTTGTTGTTGTTGTTATTGTTGTTGTTTATTGTCGAGCTGCGTGTGAAATTTAAAACCGTGATAACACCTCAGTCACAACCAGCCCCCCCTGTCTCGCCTCTCACCCGCTAGTCACGCCCCCTTTCTGTGAGCAGAACACGTGCAGAGGCCGGCACGTTCCCTGTTCCGTTAATGTTTTTGGTTTAATTTCGCGCCCGTCGTCAGCTTTCGGGCTAAAAATTGTTGACAAAATTGATTTGTTCAATTTTTCCAACGATTTAACTTTAGGTCCATGACTCGGTTGCCATTAGTTCCGGTACATTTGTTTTAAAGGTTGTTTGCCCAGCGCGCAGCATTGTATTGAAGCCTCTCGCTTCTCTCTTTTGGAATTTTTTGCACGTCTCGCAGAAACTTTTCGCTGCCCGGCTAAGGAATTTAATCAATTTTCGATATTTTATTGATTCGCGTTAAAAGCAAATTTAATTTTCAATTGCTCCGGCTCTTAAAAGTAACATGTTTTCCTTCCATTTCTTATCGTTGCAGGTCGAAGTAAGTAGAAGATGTTCGAACGCCCGCATGATGTGGGCAGACGGCCGCACTATGGACCAAAGAGAAGTCAAGCGCCATGGGATAGTATAACGAGCTGTGTTGCGTATTATGGGACTTTGTTTATTTGGGGGCTAATTAGAGGAAGTGGGCGGAAATCAGTTTATGAGTTAGTCATAGTTGCTGTCTATGGAGAAATTTGACTTTAAGTGGAACAATAATTAGAGAAAGAGCTCCTCGACTACAGATAACATTTGATTAAAAATATATATAAAATATATATACTTAGTATTTTTCATAAAAAATAAAGCATAATCATGAGCAAATGAGTGAATAAATATGACAGAGGATCTACTAGATCTAAAATAAGTATATAAAGTATACATAGTATATATACCATATCTATTATATAAAGTATACATATATAGAATATATAACATACATAGTATATGTACGAAAAGGTTAAGCTAAAATAGAGGTTCTTTAGTGATGTTATCTGAAGCGGGCTTTGATATGTGTATTATCGTATAAAAAGGGTCAGAGAAGTTCTAGTAAGCTCGATAGCAGTAGACTCAGTTACCAAAATGTTGCGGTCCTGTAGACAAGATCTGGAACGACAAAAGCAAAGTATGCGACGTATTGTAATAGAGAATATTTCAGAGCTAGAATAACTATAATATAATAACTATAATATAAGAATAAATAGAATAACTATAATATAAATTCAAAGGGAATGACAAATCTCAAGAGAGCAGAATCTAAGATTGATAGCTAGTTACTGCACTAAGCACCTGTGTCACTCTTCAATATCTTCAAAAAGAATCCCTTAGTAACTTAACTTAGCCTTACAGGAACGCAATCAATATATATTGCATTCTTTATTCAATTTATAAAACACCCACCACTATTTGAGTAACTCACGAATCACATATCGCAAAGCTATAAAACCTAGTACTAAACTAGTACTAGTACTTCTCTAAGGACTTCGACTTATTTCTAAGTAACCTCGCACTTTAAATATCATCTTTTAACTATTTCAATACCGAATTTATTTCAAAAATATAACTACACTAGAAATTTAGAACTTTAAGAACGATGCAGAAGGGGAGAGGAGGAGCAGAGCGAATGGGCTTATGATGAATGAAAGCTGATATTACAAAATACTTTTGGCCAGCAGACGCTTGAAGCCGAAACCGAAACAGCTTGCGGTCGACTCGCTGGCAGTGGCAGGATGCATTCCTTGGTACCAGAAATGCCCATTAGTAAACCTCATAATTGCTTCATTTTGGCTCAACTATTTTCTTGAAATGAGCTTAACTTTTCGAAGTCCATTCGGCAAAACCCTTTTACGACAAAATTTTGTTATTTGCCTAGTGAATCGATAGGAGCTGAAACTTTGCTTCAGGCAGGGGCGTGGTTGGAGGCGAAGGGTGCTGAAGACGTTGATTTTGTGCGCTTGTCTGTTACGCAGCTGTTAATTAAAAGGAAGACAACTCAAGTCGAGAAAAGTGGGCGTGGGTGTGGGTGTGGGTGTGGGTGTGGGTGGGTGTGGGCGGTGCTGTCTTGGGGGTTGGCAATGGAAATTAGCCACAGTCAAAAGTCATTGCGTTGATTACTTTTAGAAAATGACGCGCGCAAATTTTCGAAACTTTAATTGTTTTGCCCTCGTAATAGCAGGGGTGGAGTGGGCTGGAGGGGTGGGGGCTGGCTGCTGGCTGCTGGCTGCTGGCCAGGGGTTGTCTGGTACGCATTTAAATGTGAATTAATTGCTGGCCATAAGCATTGCATATATGAGCAGCAGGATTTATGTGTGCACGATGAGTTGGCAGCCGGCAGGCCGCTCCGTGGTCCGTGGTCCGTGGTCCAGTCATGTTGTTGCCATTAACTGCACCGTGGAATTTTTATGACCTGCCGCCTCTACATACACCCCCTCTCTCTCTGACTCTCTGCAGGTCCACGCACTCGCAAGCCCAAGAAGCCAGCCGCAGCGAGCGCTGCGGGCAGCAGCAGCGGCGACAAGTCCGATCCGGATGGCGCCTCCGGCTGCGCCGGTGTGCCGGAGGACAAGCGACCACGCACGGCCTTTAGCGGCACGCAGCTGGCGCGACTCAAGGTGAGTGCAGACACACAAAATTGAGCGAGGCAAAAGCTTAACTCTCTCTCTCGCTCTCTCGCCTGCTCACACAGCATGAGTTTAACGAGAATCGCTACTTGACGGAGAAGCGACGCCAGCAGCTGAGCGGGGAGCTCGGCCTGAACGAGGCGCAGATCAAGATCTGGTTCCAGAACAAGCGAGCCAAGCTGAAAAAGTCGAGCGGCACCAAGAATCCGCTGGCGCTGCAGCTGATGGCCCAGGGCCTCTACAATCACTCGACGGTGCCGCTGACGCGCGAGGAGGAGGAGCTGCAGGAGCTGCAGGAGGCGGCGGCGGCAGCGGCAGCCACAGCAGCGTCCGACCCATCGTAGGCCGCTATATTTATTGTATAATTAACAATAATAATATTAATATTTAAATGTATGGCCTAGCGTGTAAGTTGCTTAACAATTAAGTTGTAAAATATTCTAGTCCCCCTCTCGGCGCACGCGACGCGATTTGCCCAAACGGATGCGGATGTGGATGCGGATGCGAATGTGCTGCGCTGCGCTGCGTGTTTTTGTATAATAAATTTAAAATAAAACATGAAACGAAATGAAATGCAAACAAAAAACGTTCACAAGTAAAATAAATAATTTAATAAACACTTAAATTATACAGAAAACTTTGTTGTGATTTGCTTATTTCGATCTTAGCATATATTTACCATTCCAGCTCGAGTTCGAACTCGATCTCGAATTTGAATTCAAATTCGAATTCGATTCGCCAGGTAGGTGGTCCACGGCGAGATCAGCAACCGATCACGTTGATTAGCTCGTTATCGGCGTGGCAGCTGCCGCCCTAATGGACCGTGGGCGTCAGCATTAATTACTCAATTAATGAGACGGCGAGATCGGTGAGATGGGAGAGACCGGAGAGATCGTCGAGATCGTCGAGCTCGGCAAGATGTGTTGCTAGATCGGGCAGCGACAATTGCTAGTATTACAATCGCATTAAATTCATTATGCAAATTACGCTCGAAGGCAATCTCTCTTTTTTTTTCCATAATCGCGCCTAAAACGTAAACGTTTTTCTCTCTAATTTAGCCATTAAATTTGCATACCAAGAAAATAATAAAAAAGCAACCCGTAAACTGTATGAGTATGTATGTGTGTGGCAGCGGCAGAAATTGACACCTTGAAGAGACGGCAAATGCTTTTTAACTTTTGCCTGAATCGCAGCCTCGCGTAGGTGTTAAAAGCGACTGTCTGGGACTTTTGGGCAGGCAGGGTTCGGGGTTGGCGAAGAAACGAATTGCTGCAAGATTTCAAAATATGAAATACTCGAAATTATTATAATGTTGATGGAAATGCAATTACGACAAATGCGACAAGAGCTCATGTGCCACAAAATAGAGGCTGTAAAACGAGATTTTACATGAGTTGATACAAAATGTTAATATGCTTAACGAATTTAAAGTACAGTAGATAGTTACTATACTCAAGTTTGTTCAGAGTAAGTTGCATTAAAATAATCTGTGATTATTAAGCTTGAAGTAGAATTTGATCTTTATATTAAAAATTAAATACTTATTATTAATAATAATGTCATATATAATATAAAAATATTTTTTATTCACTTAAAGAAAGAAACAAAATTATATTACACTGATATATAATATTTAAATTATATATAATATTTAATATAATATTTAAATTGTATTTAAGAATTTTCTTATAGGTATTCGAATTATTGTACTAATTAATATAAATTATATTATATTGGTACATAATATTTTAAATATTTATAAGCATTTTCGAATAATAATAAATAATTAAAGAATATTTAAGCAATTTCCTATAATTATAAAACAATATATTACACTGATAAATAGTATTTAAATAATATTTAATTAAATAAAATTTTGCTTTAAATATTTTGTATCAGTGAAGATATATATATATATATAAATATAATTAATAAAAAAAATTAAGCTTAAATTATATTTTTATTAAATTATCCTCTAGATCTTGTATAGGTCTTATATAGTTATAAGTAAACATTTTCGCAGATTCAGCATTTGGAATGGAGTTATAAAAGCGGGAGTGTCTATCTACCTCTTGATCGCAAGAAATCTTACTTGAGCCGAAATTTATAAAATATTTTATAAATACAAATTAGTTAAATAATGACTAAAAATTGAGTTATTAAATTGAAATTTGCATATTTACTTCGGTTCAGTACATTGTTATTATTTATTTTTGTTTTTTTTTTTTATGTCCACAGTCAGACAAGCACAACAACAACAACGACAATGACAACAGAAAATAATAATAATATTAATAACAACAAACAGCAGATGACTGTGCAAACATCTTAATTCTGTGGATGATTTACAGTTGGGATTGGGTTTCATTGTTTGGTGACATATTTCGGGTTTGCTTTGTTTTGACGGGTAGGCGAGGGCGAAGGGGAATCCGAATCCGAGACGCGTTGCTCACGATTATAACAAAGTGCAGTTTATTCGCGCACAGGTTGTTCAGCAAGGGGGGAAAGGGATTTCGATCGGACTGGAGAGTGAGTGTGCGATCGAGTTGAGTGTGGGTGTTTTGTTGCTTAAGTGAATTTTTATGGCACGCGCTGCGTGCAGATGACTTCATAAAAAGTCAATTTAAGTTTAGTAATATTTTGTTGAATTTATAGTTAAGTATTTTGTTTAAGCATAATTTTTTATTGCTCACACTCTGGCAGTGGAGTCGGAACTGGAACTGGACCTGGACCTGAACCTGCACTGGAATGGGGGTGGGGGCAGTGTCTCTGTGTTGCAAGTCTAAGAATGAGTCATGGCGCGAGTATATTACGTTATAAATTCAATAAATGTGACCATAAAAAGCCCATTCAAAATACCTTGCGCGCTCATACATTAATCCCGCCAAATGCCCAGGTCCAGATCCCCGAAGTGCCGCTACCCAGTTCCCAGTTCCCAGTTCGCAGTTCGCAGCTCTCAGTTCTCAGTTCCAAATTGCCATTTGCCGGTTGGCAGTGCGAAGCTGAGAGGCATATTACAACGCCTCGAATGCTGCCGCCGCCGCCGTCGACTGCTGGGCCCCCAAACCAAATGATTAATGTTCGGCAGTCGGTTGGCAGCAGCCTTGGCCCCAGCCGAAGCCTTCCCGGAATGTGAGCCCAAGTAACCCGAAAAAAGACAATACGCATAAATCTATGGGGTTGACACTTAGTACCGCTTTCGGCCCGAGACCACAGCCTCAGCCTCAGCCTCAGCCTCGGTCACAGTCGCAGCCGAGTCTCAGCTGCAGCTCCATGGACTTCAAATGAATCTGTTGGTGCTTCACTTGCCGCACGGTCCTCGTCTGCCAGATGAGTTGTGGCAAGGCGCGAGGTGTCATAAAATTGGCAACAAATTGTTTTTCACGCCGTTTTAAATACACATTTTCGATACTTGGCCATAATGAGCGCGGCCTCTGCCACGACTCCAGCTGCAGCTCCAACTCCAACCCCAGCTCCAGCTCCAGGTCAGACAAAGCCGGCATCAACGACATCATTCGACTTTGACGAACTGCAGCGTCCGTTGCGCCTTGTAACACGCTAATAAATTTGCGGCTAAGGAGATAAGCTTATAAATTTTAACTGTAATTATGCGACACAAGATTTATGAAGCGTTCGCACTCGCTCACTCGCACTCTCTCTCTCTCTCTCACGCTCTCCCGCTCGGATTATTAATGAAACACAGAGTTACAGCGAAATGCGCTCAAGTGCCGGCATTACAAACGACAGAGTCCACTCGGTATCTTTTGGCATCTCGGTTAGCCCGGTTAGTGTGTCTGTTGGCCTTTATCTGAGCCTTGTTGTTATTTGTTGCCCAGCACCCCTTGGCCAAAGATTTATTCGCGTGCATCTAATTCGTGGGGGCTCTCTTAATGAGGTTTCATTTCTTTTTCTTCTTTCTCTGTTGGCTCATGCAAATCTTGCATCAATTCTACCCCATTCGATCTACGCATGTGGGCGTGGGCGTGGCCCCTCTCAGTCCCTGCCACGACTCCAAAGTGTTATTGGCGAGACCACCCACGTCTCTGCAGCGCCAATCACATTTCGAGATCTGCGTATTTGACATTGCCTTTGTCTCATTACGCCTGCGCAGACAACAACAGCAACAACAACAACAACTGCCGCAACAACAACATCAACTTGAGAGTGTGAGTGGTAAGGCGTGGGAGCTAAAGCTGAAAGCTGCTCCAGCGATAACTTGATAGACTAAATGAGTCTCATTCCGCCCGATTATTGAGCCATATATGTAAGTACTCTAAAGAAGTCATAAACTATGAACGTGTTTTCTTGCAGTGAGTGAGTGTGTGTGTCTGTGTTTGTGTGTGTGGAGCCCAGCCTTAAGTGAGAGTTGTTCCTTGCACAGAATCCAGTTCATGCGAATGCCTAGATCAGATTATATATATACACATATAGCAAGGCGTAAAGGTTATTGCTCGCTATCAAATTGCAACGGAATATTTTATATAGTTTAACTTTATTATTACTTTTTTCCAGTGTATCGCATAACATTTAATGCATAAGCTATTTTTATACCAGTCAAGATATTTTCCATATTAAGTAATCTTCACATTTTTGTAATAAAATAAACATCTTTAGACTTTAATGAAAATATAGAGTTGGTGTAGTCTGACCTCTAGAGCTGAAGTCATAGACTTTAGTTAACAAAAGAGCAGATATCGAGGGTTGTTCCAAAAGTACGTAAATTGGTGTTAAATGATTTTGCTACTGCAACTGTACTGTGGAAGCTATAAAAAGTTTAAATCTAAACAGTAAAAACTTGTAGGCCATTAGTATTTCTTTGGTCTGGTTAATTCAGTATCTAATAGTTTTATTAAATGAAAAAATAAGATCAACGTTAAGCTGAACTCTGAGCCGATGTTCACAGTCTGAACAATAGCATATTGATAGATAGACTCTCTTTAAAGTCAATACAAGCCGAGAAGGAGTAGACGAACGTCTACCAGCTGATATTTAATAAAATGCTACTTAACAAAATTTTATATTATTTATAAAACATATATACTACAGCAATTAAATTTTTTTAAATCGAATTGAAACAAAAACTATTTATATTTAATTTGTATTATATTGAGCTTTAAATCCCTTGAACTTTTTTTTAATAATCATATAAAGCATACGAATTTATTTTTGTACAGAGGCTAGTTTTGCTTTTTATTTTTCATCTGAAATATATATAGTTAAATACCATATATTTTATATAGATTATCAAACCAATTACAGTCGACTCCCAAAAACTTTTTTTTTTCGAAGAAGTTCAAATTATCGAGAACGAATATTTTTACAAGGGTATAGAATTTTTTCGATTCATCGCGATTTTCGATTTAGTGCGGTGCAAATTATTGAGACTCGACTATAGGATATTCAATCATTAATTATATATCAATATTAATTACACATTTTATTATTATTTATATTTATTATATAAATATTTTACATCTATCCATTTGCGTTGTCCTTAACGTTCATCCTTAAATTAAATATTACTCTATGAAGCCCTACACACGCTATACCCTATACAATATTAATTATAAATTGTATT